GGTGAATTCTCCGCCTCGGTCTGTGCGCAGCACTCGCATCTTCTTCTCGCATTCGGCCTCCGCTCGCGCTTTAATGCACTTAACCGCCTCTGCCGCCTCACTTTTCGCTTGCAGCAGGGTCAGCCACATGAAGCGGCTTTTGTCATCGACTAACAGGAGGAAGAGACTCTTACCGCCTGGGGTCGCCGGCTTGATGGGCCCGCAGATATCGCCGTGTACAAGCTCCAACGGCTCATCGACTCGATAGGATGTTCGAGACGGAAAGGGTGTGCGCCTCTGTTTGCCGATGAGGCACCCGTCGCACAGCTTGTTCACGCCTTTGATTGCTGACAAACCGTGCACTAACTCCTCCTTCTGTAGTTTTTCTAGAGCAGGAAAGTTTAAATGCCCGTACCTTGCGTGCCACCTCCAAGATACCTCTTCGGTCTTGGCCAAAAAAGCATGTTTTTTTTTACCGCCGCACAAAGAAAATATTTTGTTGCGAATGAACAAGATTGTCCATACGTAAAATCATAATTATTGATACGGGCCTTTTCCACATAATCCACATAAAAAGGGAATCTTTTGTTACAATAGAAGCAGAAGTGATGTGGATTATTCGAGAATCGAAGTCGAGTTGCTTTATAAAAAGAAGATATCAATGAACTTCTATGAAATGGTTTCACGGGATGTAAAGACGGTTTGTCTGTAACTTCAGGATGTAAAGACGGTTTGTCGTGCGCCTTGCCTGTGTGAGCAGCCGTCGTTGATTATCGCAAATTTTGAGTAATTCGCGCTCGATGGAGATGAAACAGCCTGTCTCATCGAGTTGACCCAGGCTCACAAGGTTAGCCTTGAGCCTCGGGATGAAGTAGACGTCGGTCAGCTTGCGATGCTCGCCTTCCTTGCTGGCGAATAGGATGGTGTCGCGTCCTTCGATCTCGACGACGGATCCGTCGCCGAATTTCACCATCCCGCGGATCCCCGAGTCGAGTTTGGAGAATGCAGATCTAGCCCCGGTCATATGGTTTGTTGCCCCTGTGTCTAGGATCCATCGCCGGTCCTTGTGTTGCTCGTCCCGCATGCTGATCTGAGCGAACACTCGCTCCTCCTCCAGTTGAATTGGCTCCCTAGCTGGTGCCACCTTTTTGCTACGCCCAGCTGGAGCTCTTTCTCGACTGCTTAGGTGTCCTCTCTTCCCATAGTTCGAGCAAATTGGCCTGCCATTGGTCGACTCCTTCTTTTGATTCTCATCTTTCCCACGCATGCGCCCGTGGGAGATCCATGGCTTCTTACCGTCTTTGCGGCTGGAGGAGGACCCGTTGCCCCGTTGCTCTCGCCGGTGTTGTCACGGAGCTTTAGACGTGCAAGCCACCTCCTCAGTGAGGAGTAAACGACCCCCCTTGTCGACAGCTGAAATGGTATTTTTCTTCCGCTGCTCGACGTTACGCAGTCTTCCGGTCACCTCTTCTACCGTTAGGTCGTTCAAGTCAGGGACAACCTGCAGCATCTTCTTCACGATTTCTGTCTCGCTGATGCTGCCACCGAGTGTGGTGATGTTGTTGGCGAGCCCCGTGATCCGCAGCATTGTAAAATCATCGGATTCACCGTCCTTAAAGTGAATCTCCGAGAGCTCCTTCCGCAACTGCTCGATGTTGGATTCCCTCACTCGCTGTACACCAGATCGTAATATGGCGACAAACACCAACCGGATATCCTCACGATACTCAATCATTTCTCCTTTCTCTGGCTCAACAGCATGCCATAACCCTTGCGCCTGTAGGTTGACGCGCATCAACAAGATCCATTCGTTATAAATTTGGACTTTATCAATATTGGATACTGAACGACGGCAGTCGTTGTCTCCCTGATCACTCGCTCATCGATAACTTTGACGCCCGTCATCACGGCATCGGCCTCTTCGTGGCAGCGGGGTGATGGAGATGTCGGCACACGGCGATGACGTGGAGGAGTGAGTGAGCCTGCCCGAGATGGGCCCCACGATGTGTGTGTTTCCCACGATATGTGTGTTTTTTACACTTCGCATTTTCTTCTACTCGAACCTAAGACCTTTGTGATGTTAGGTCAAAGCTCTAACCACTTGAGCTATTCAACTTGTTTGTTGATAAGTTGGCTCCTCTACAATGATATAAAACCTAAGACCTTTGTGATGTTAGGTCAAAGCTCTAACTACTTGTTTGTTGTTTATTGAGCTATTCAACTTGTTTTGTGGAATCGTGTGAATAAGAAAAACGGTAAAACTCAGGTTTTATCTAACATTAGCGGGCAGTTCATAAAATGGAAGGTCGTTTCTATGGCCTATAGCCAATTCTCAGCGGCAATGAGATCCACCTTGCCTCCGTCAAAGGAAGGTGGTTTATGCCTCTAGAAATCTCTTAAGTAGCGGGACTCCACAGTCATAGTCCCTGAATCTTTGACCCCTTGCCCTGCTGACTGATTAGCCATCATAGTTTGTATCATTTGGTTCGTCAGAGCCTGATTTTCTATCAAGGTCATCATGAACGTCTGAAACATCTCTGCTGTGGGCATGGCTAACGGCTGGTTTAGTGGGACTGCTGTACACGGGGTTGGACCCGATGGGACCTCCTCAAAGAAGGGAGCAGTAGGGGATGTATCGAGTAGCCTTCGAGCCTTGGCCTTCTTTTCTATGTGAATCGAGTCCTAAAATATTGAGACATTCACCTAGGAACAACTCCACGCATGATATGTGAAGAAGTTTGGCCAAGATCTCAACTCGAAGGCGGAGATCCAAGAATCGTCCGAGAACGGTAAGCGAACTTCCGACGCTCATAACTCGTTCGATAGTCAAGCAAAAAATTATGAAAAAATACCAGGACATAGCCCGTAACACAATCTAGAATTTTCCGAAGAAATCATATCGATATGAACTACAAATCAAAAGATATGAAAATCAAAAAATGGGACTCTATGTTACGAATTGCAGGGACAGAGATGAAAAAAAAAAAGGTCGACCGGTGAGCGGCGGAGGGCGGTGCAATAGGCACCGGACTTGTGTCGACCGTTGGTTGGAGCAACACAGCTCCAGTGAGATGACGACACGTGTCGCCTACAAAGCCCGAGTCGATCCGCAAACCCAAGTTGAGTCGAGCCGACCCGCGCACGCGTGCAACCTGTGACTGGCACACTTCCACGCGCGTGGTCGGCGCACTGTCAGTGCATGAGCACGCATGAAATGGTCGTTTTGTCCCATTTGCCCTCTGTTTGCCCGATTGTTGTCCCAGTTCCAATTCTAATTCAGTTTTTATGTGAATAGGGACTAATTTAAGGAAATCAGTATTTTTGGACACCTCACGGGCAAAGAAACGCTAGCGACAAGGCACGCATCAACTAGGTAAGTCACCACTCGGTGTTTAGGAAGAAATACTTGTAGGATACGCTTGGATTGCATGCATGCTAGTACCTTTGCCTTAGATTAGCTCTCCATGAATAAGATTAGTTAGATTGATTGTTATGAGTGTATTGGATGAATTATCTGAGTGTTGCTTTTATGCTTTAAGCTTTCGTTGTACGTATGCATGTGTTTAATTTATGTTGGAATTGTGTATTTCGCGTTTCGGGTGCTTGATGGATGAGTTCGTCCCATTGAGCGCGAGCTTCATGTTCTGGGTGCTTAATGGAGGCCATCACCCCGTTGAGCTGGCGTGTCTAGTTTGTATGAATTATATATTATGATGTTAGAAGACGGTTGCATGCACACTCTGTTATTTTCTAGGGTCCATTTCTATGATAAGCCTATGGAATTGCTATTAGGAGCGATAAGTCGCTCTAGCTAGACTTAACCTTTCCCAAGGAACTTAGCAGAATACCACGACAATAAGGTACCTCAGGAGTGTTCATAAATTGCTAGGGTGAGAGCAGTATCTATAGCTTCGTTGGAGGACCAAGGGTTCCTCACCAGTTCTTTACTGCTCTTAGCCATTTTGCATGGGAAGTGTGTCCCCACGTCGTACAACCCATTAGATGCATGGGAACGAGTTGAGTCGCACCCCCCATAGTGGACTATATGGGCTCAGGGGTATTTAGCACACCCGTAGGCTAGATACCATGTAGTCCCATATAGCCATGTAGAGGTAGCGCCTCATAAAGAGATACCGATCATATCAGCTTGACATAAGGAACCTCTAAGTGTCTAATGAAAGGACGATGAACCAGTGAAAGCAAGAGGCAAACTCCAAGGGACTAAGATTAGAACCAGATGTCCTAGAACCGAATTAGGAGACCGTAGGAACCTGTTAAATTAGGATGTGAAGAGAGCCTACAAGTAGGTGGCTTACTGTGTATAATTTTTATACTCATCCTTGCTATGTTTTCCTTTTTGAGGAGTGCGAGGCATCGATCAAGGGCGAGCGTGATAGAGACGGGGATTGTCACAGAGGAATGGGTTGTCCCGGGGCGTCAGTCCAGTCTTTATTTTGTATTTGCATTCTTTCAAAATTTATTTCCAAACTGTTAAGTGTTCTGTTTGTTGTCGTTGAAAAACTTTATTGGAATTAAAGAATTTTCTCTATGTCATATTTAAATCACTTTGTGTATTCGTGTATTGTCTTTAGTCACGGTCCGTAGTAAAATATTGGGTCGTGACATTCATGAAACTGTATGTGTTTGCATTTAACCCCAATAGTGGAGTCATTAGTGAGTATTTCTTAAAATACGAAAGTCACGTGTTACTTCTATTTCAGGTAAAGGCAAGACATCCCTGTATGCCTGACGACGATATTGCAACTAGAGACCATGATACATGCATACGGTAGTCGCATTTATTTTTCTTAGATGTAGGCTAGAACAAGATACTTTTCATTTAATCGTTCATTTATTTTATTTAGTTCTTTGTTTTATGATGAAATATTTCATCAATCTTTTTTTATTTTATTAGATACGAAAGTTCGCGTTAAGCCACTCACTGCCCTAAGAATCCAATAGAGCTCTTCCGACAAATTATGCAGATGAATCACAAATAATAACAAAATAATAATTATAATAATAGTCGAAAAAAGAATATTATCTTAGATCATGAAGAATGGTTTTAACTCATCCATTTTATAGTTCAAATAAGTCAATTTAATGAAGATAAGTTTGGGAAAGAAAGAAAATTTGGTACTTTATGTGAAAAATGACCATATTTAAAGCCTAACAATGCGAAGATAAAAAAATAAAAATCTTAACAAAAAATAAAATATCATGCCAAAACAAAGAATCTGGCATAAGATCATATCTATGATATGATATTGGCATAAGATCATATCAGTGATTTGATTTTCAGGAATTAAAACATACAAATAGCAACTAAATCTTTTCAACATTCCCTCCCTTAAACTGCAGTATTTAGATCAAACTTTAGGATCTTAACAAACACCAAGTTAACATGTGTAGCTTCTCAAATACAACTCGAGTCAAAGGTTTTGTCATGATATCAACCACTTGCTACCGTGCAAGACTGGATTCTAGTCAGCTTAATAGTGGAACTATTATAACTGTACACCACTGTAGTTCAAACTGGGATATGATCGATTTTTAAGCATCCTTCTCAACCATATGGCTTGGCAAGCACAAGCTGCAGCAGCAATGAATTCAGCTTCAGTAGTGAAGAGTGTGACTACGGGTTGCTTCTTTGAGGACCATGAAACAGATCCTGAACTTAGCAAAAATGAATAACCTGATATACTTTTTCTATCCTCCAAATCTCCTGCATAATCATTGTGCAGTAAGCTCAACATTACCATCTTGCTCGTAGAAAATACCATATGTGAGTGTCCCTTTTATGTAACGAAACACCCTTTTAATGGCTTGAAAATGAATTTCTGTAGGCTTAGCCAAGTACCTACTAAGCAAACTAACAAAAAAAATATGATGTCAGGTCTGGTAGATGTTAAGTACATTAAGCTTCCTACCATTTGCATGCACAAGGTGTTGTTGACAGACAAGCTAGTAGAATCCATAACAAACTTAAATCCATGTACAATAGGATTGTATACAACATTGCAGCTAGCCATATTAAATATTTCCAATAATTTTTGGGCATATCTCTTTTGACAAATGAAAATACCATAAGCTCATTGTGATACTTCTAAGCCAAGAAAATATCGCATTCGTCAAAGATCGGTCATATCCAATGCCTTCATCATGGATTCCTTAAATGAACTCAACAAAGCCTCATCGTTTCCAATAAATATGAGATCATCTACATAAATACATACAAGCAAGAAAGTACCTTATAATGACTTCATGACAAACAAAGTATGTTCATAAGGACACTTTTCAAAGCCTTCCTTTTTAAAATAAGTTTCAATATGATTGTACCACGCACGTGGAGCTTGCTTCAAACCGTATAAAGCCTTTTTCAAGCAATATACTTTATCCTCTTCTCCCTTAACCACAACCAGAAGGTTGTGCCACATAAACCTCTTAATTCAACTCTCCCTGAAGAAATGCTGATTTAACATCCAATTGAAACACAGTCCACCTCTTTTGAGCTGCTAGAGCAAGTATCAATTGTATAGTGTCCATACGAGCTACAGGGGCAAAGACTTCTGTGTGGTCCATGCCATGTTGTTGTTGTGTATCTTTTAGCAACAAGTCGAGCTTTGTATTTGTTGATTTCTCCATGTTAATTCAGCTTCGTTTTGTACACCCATTTTTCCCCATTTGTTTTTGCACCATGAGGAGGATTAGTGAGATTCCAAGTATCATTTTTCCCTATTGCTTCAATTTTAGAACCCGTGGCACATCGCCAATTGGCACTTTTTGCTGCATCCACATATGTTAAAGAATCTTGATCAACAAATAGAGAAAAATTACCCTGATCATCATCATCATCAGAGAAGTTCTCTCCACTCTCATAGTCACGCATCCAAAGCCGGAGGGCGTCTAGAGCGTTTGTCTATTGGTTTAGAAATAAGAACAGCAACAGGATCATTAGAGGGATCAACAACAAGATCGGAAATTATGTGTTTTTCTAATGTGTGTTGCTCTGAATTTTCTTCACGAAGGTCACCAGCTGAGTTTTTTGTGGCTTCATTTTTGTCATCATGGTGGCTCTCTTCGTTTGTATCATTCAAGTCAAGAGATGCTTGAATTGCTTTAGTATGACTATCATCCCATGCCCAGCTCTTCTCTTTATTAAAAATAACATCACGGCTGATGAGCACCTTTTGAGACAATGGATCATACAAACGATAGGCTTTAGACTCTTCACTAATTCCTAGAAAAACACATTTTGTGCTATTGCTATCCATTTTGGTTCGTTTTCTATCTGGAACATGAGCATATGATACGCACCCGAATACTCGAAAATGAACAACAAATGGTTTGATGCCACTCCATGCCTCCTCTGGGGTTTTGTTTCGAATTGAAAGCGTAGGACTTCTGTTGAGAATATGTGTTCCCCAATTGACAGCCTTTGGCCAAAAAGTTTTAGGAACTTGTCTACTGGTGAGTAAACTTCACACCATATTCATAATTGTTCGATTTTTCCTTTCTACTACTCTGTTTTGTTGTGGTGTGTAGGCTGCAGTGAGTTGTTGATGTATTCCATGTTTTGAGCAGAACTCAATAAACTCAATAGATGTGAACTCTCCACCTCTATCGGTTCTCAAACCTAAAATTTTTATCCTAATTTCTTTCTCCACCTTTGTTTTGAAAAGTTGGAACATTCTAAAGACTTCTGATTTTTTTTTTGTTAAATAAAATATCCATAATTTTCTACTAAAATCATCGTTAGAATATATCTTTTATTGTCATTTGACATAGGTGTAATTAATTGGACCACATATATCTTAATGATCTGAATGAAGAATTTGGAGTGGCTTGATGCTCTCCACATACTTTCGGGTGGAAAGGGTCTTCTATTTTGTTTTCCCAACCGACAGTCTTCGCATAATAAATTGTAACATACCAATTCTGGCAAGCCATGAACCATATTCTTTCTGTTTTGAGGCCTCCAAAACTTCAGTCACCATATCCGTAGTGCTAGAAATTCTCCCAATTATATGTGGGAGTGTGAAAATATTGTTCCTTCTAAATCTTAGCAAGAAGGATAAACATCCTATTTATAGACATGCTTGTCTCAATGATAAGACCCCTATCATGTGATACACTTTGCAATTGTTATCACTAAATATAATAGTCAAGCCTTTCTCTTTCTAGCAGTTGACCAATGCTAAAAAATTATTCTTCAATTCAAGAAAGTTGTTGTTAATACTAAATTAGATTTTATGTATTTTTTTAGTAAATAAGCGGACAAAAGAGAAAAAAAAAAGTAAGAGAAAAAATAATGTTACTTTGTATGTGATTGTGGGGACAAGTTAAAAATA